AACTGCGAGGCTATAATATCTGATGAGGAACGTGCAATGGCTCATGCTACAGTAATTGCAACAGCTAATCACGCGTCAGAAGTATTTAGAAAGCCCACAGACACTGCTGGCTGGCATAAAAGACTGGGGCATATAAATGTCGAATCGATCAAGAACTTGGCCGACAAATCGGAAGGTCTTGACATCATACCGGGAAAGACCAAAGAGAGGTCTCAGTGCGTGGCATGTATCGAAGGCAAGGCCATTCGACACCCGTTCCCAAAAAGAAGTACACATGTGGCGACTCAAGTCAATGTGTTACTACACATGGATCTAGAAGGGCCGTTTCATGACACGGCTCTAGGTGGATATAAATATTACCTGATCATAGTAGATGATTACTCGAGGTATTCCCACCTGTATCCAATGATCTCAAAAGATCAAACGTTCCAGCGGTTCAAGGAACATGTTGCCGCTGTCGAATTAAGTAAAGGTTTACCGGTTCGAGCGATCCGAACCGATAATGGAGGGGAGTTTACCTCCAGTGCGTTCCAACAGTTCCTGAAGCATAAAGGAATTGCAGTACAGAGAACGACGCCTTACACTCCACAGCAAAATGGAGTTGCCGAACGCAAGAATCGGACAATCGTCAGCGCTGTACGCGCTATGTTTGCCGGTTGCAAGCTTGGTCGAGAATTCTGGGCAGAGGCAGCGATGACTGCAGTGTATCTACAGAATCGGTCTCCTAACAAGGCGCTAGGCCAAAGAACGCCATACGAGCTATGGACAGGAGAGCTGCCAAAGGTGATGCACCTCAGGACGTTCGGATGTGCAGCGTATGCACTCAGACCAAAGCAACTGCTGACTAAATTGGACACACGCACTAGAAGGTGCATATTTATCGGTTATCACTCACAGGCCAAGGCATACAAGCTGTTTGACCTTGAAAGCAAGAAGATGATAACAAGCAGGGATGTAGACTTTGCTGAAGAGGAGTTTCCTTCACTCTCTAATCCCGTTCGTCGAAACAATGTCGTACCAGTAATGACACTGTACGAAGGGGCACCATTATTTACTCATAGCTACAATCTAGGTGGTGTTACACCGTCTGTACCTATTGCGATAGATAATGTGGTAAGTCCAAAAACATCAGAAACTCCAGGAAATCCAGATTGTGCGAGTACGCCAATTGGAGGGGAGTCAGAACCAGGTCGCCGACAAGTACCAAGAGTAGTACCGACTGCAAGGAATACAGCGAGGATGACTGTAGCAGATCGCGGGACCGAGGTCACAACAAGCGATGAACGCATAACTCAGGAGGAGTTATTAGGGCGTGGCATCAGCAGGAATAAGGCTATCAAGACATCGCTAAATGAGTCGAGTCTAGCCGGTTATAGGAAACCGAACCAGAAACCGAGATCGAAATCTCAAGGTTCGAGGAAAGCAGTTCAGGAACGTCCAGTTGACGTTATGAACAGGGACAGAGCCACGATGGCTGCTCCCACAGAATCGACGGTCACGGCTGATTATCCAGGAGCGATATCAGAGGTTGATGACGCGTCTGAGCCGAGCATACAGGCTGCGGTGGAACAAAGAATGGTTGAGGATTTGCCAACCATTACAAGTCAAGATGACAGTGATCTGGAAGAGTCAGATCAATACTACTCGTACACTCACGGGAGTGGTACCAGTAATGCCGATGAGTCGAATAATGCAGTGGCAGTTATATCGAACGGATCATCGAGGAACATTGTGCCAGAAACATGGCAACAGGCTATAGTTTCGAGTGATGCAGATCTATGGAATGCAGTCAAGCTCATACTACACTACGTGCAAGGAACGCTAAGTTACGCACTAGAACTAGGAGGAACCAACGCATCATTGAGTGGTTACTCAGATGCCGATTGGGCTGGAGACGTAAAGACCAGGAAGTCTACGTCTGGATATTTATGTTATGTAGGCAATGCACTTGTATCGTGGAGGTCATCAAAACAGACGTGTGTGGCCGTATCTACTATGGAAGCCGAATATACTGCTGCCGAATCAGCATCGCGAGAATTATTGTTTCTGCGCGATCTACTTGGAGAGTTAGGTTTCGAACAAGATGGACCAACAACGTTATACTGTGATTCGCAATCGGCGATATCAAACATGATTGGACCATCCGTCGTACACGAGGCAACCAAACATATAGGCATTAAGATTAATGCATTACGAGACAGAATCAGCCAGGGACTGATCAAACCAGAGTACATCGGTACTAAGGATCAAGTAGCTGATATTCTGACAAAGGGATTACCAAGACCCGCCTTCGAACAATTCGTCAACCTGCTCGGTCTTCGAGAGTGTTCTCGACGTGGAGGGGTGTTAGACATTGGTAATGTATGACATTTGTAATAGGACCCAGACGGTCAGGATGGGGTCTAGTAACAAGCAGTGTATAAACAAGTAAGCTATACAATGCTTAGATATGGTGATGACCGTTGCCTCACTCTATGCAATGACTGTAACGCTTGGGAACCCTTAACGGTGAAGCTTAGGAGTGACGCTTATACCGCCACTAATTCACCACTACTACTTACTATATATAAGAGACAAAGTTCTCTTATCAATAAATAATCACGACTATTCTGATTCATTCCTTCTTCTTATCTTACATCTCTGTGATCTTCCTCTAAAACTTATACTACATAAATATGTCACTATACGTTAATGAACAAGAAAAATACTGGTCAGAATAACAGTCTAAATACTAGTCAGACAACTGGTCAATATGTGGATTAAACAATCGTCAAATACTGGTCAGAATAACAGTCTAAATACTAGTTTAAATACTCGTCAAATACACTCGTCAATTAAACTATACAGTGCATTTGATATTCATACATTACACAATCAATCGTTAGTGAATATGCCAGTCATCGATATGTATTGTAGTCAAATGAATGTATCGGCCATTGTAATATGCATATATGATGTGTATACAGTTCAAACTACAGTGTAATATCGTATGTTTTGAGTGTATTCCAGTTGCGTCTAGTTTGACCGGCAGTCGTGACTATGACATGTTTCCAATTTGATTGACGATATGGCCTGATGCATGTCCAGTATATAGTATGCATGTATACTCATGTTCAGTGTCAATCGCATGCATGTAGTGTCACTATTGGTCAAGATATATCCAATCTTGGTATCATGTCAAATACTAGTGGTAAGTATAAATTGTATATTTTTTTGTAATTTCATGACAATACATGCATGCATCATACATACCAATGCAATATCCATATACTGTAGCAGTTTCATGCAACTAGTGTCAGTATTGGTCAAGATATTCGACATCAAACACGCCAAAACGACACTTTCGGACATGCATTTGATGGTCATGATACACATTGATATATTGCCCCAATGACGACGTAATCATATACACAATACATGACTATATGTGTACCATACATTGCAGTTGATTTCGACATTGTATGACCACTGTAGACCGAGTTATTGACACGCCAAACATCGACTATAATATCCAACCTACAAAACGTCAGCTATTCAATTACTGTGTTATCAAACATGCATGGATTGTATTGAAATTGCACATGATACAATACCAAGTATATACAAGTATTGTCATGTCACCATATCAGCACAGGCTTGTGTATTGGTTGTGAAATTGACCATTTAGTACGCGATTGTGATGATGCAAATGATCCACTTTGAACGCATATAACTTGATCAATAGCAGTTATTTCCCAACCATATTTAAACTGATTGTGTATATGGTATATCACCATTGATTGAGCATGCATATGCACGGTTTGCAGACATTTATAATTCGTGTTGATGTGTTGTATGTGACCATTTGAAACTCGACTAATTGTGGTGTATTTTGACATGTATATTGACTGATGTTTAGCGTCTGTTCATGTGTCATTGATGTACCATTGACATGCTGTATTGTCCAACATTATGTCGTGATGTTGTAATCAACAAATTGGTGCAACACTGAATGTATGGGGTGATTGTCGAGTATCGAGTTCATCTAGTTGTTTCTTGGTGTTTTCAATATCTATAAGCATCTTGTTCATAATTCCAAGGTATGTGTTGTGTGTCAATGGTCTTGTTGCTCATAATGTGTATTTGCTACTAGGTTATCAACTGTTGGTAGTTGTGGTCTGAAATCGCATGGAACATGTCAACAAACTGCGTATGTTCTTGTACAATTTGCGATATTGCATTTGTAAACAATGTGTCAAACCGACGTTGAATGTGGTTCCAAATTGTCGATTGGTGTTTTGATATTGATGGAAATTGAAGTC